ATTTCCAAAACATACAAGCCATTTATTAAAGAAGTAGTACCAAAAACAATATCATTCAAAATGATAGAAAATGTACCGTCCCTAATAGTGAAAGCAAAACCATCTTGTTCTAAACAAGAACTAGAAATAATGTTTCTAGAAATGCCGGGAACATAAAGACAATTATTCAAATGCAATAAAAAAGGCCCGTAGGCTAATGAGGTATGTATCTCCACCAGCATGAGAAGCAACTCTTGCTCCATCACCAACGTAGAGGTCCACCTCGTTCTTCTCCAATCTTCTAGGGCTCCTAAGCACCTGCAACACATTGCAGATTATAAGAACCACAACCGATATCCAATACCCATGAAGTCGGATTAGCACAAGAATAATTTATCTCAATCATGTGAATACCTGAGGTAGGAGCATCACCATGCTCCTTCACACTCTTCAGGTAGTCTGGACAATTCCTCTTCCAATGGCCATTCTTGCCACAGTGGAAGCACTCAGCTTTGCTCTTGTCATTCGAAGCCTTCTTACCCTTTCCTTTTCCCTTCTTCTTCTTGGGTTTTCCTTTGGGTTTAAGGGAGTCACCTTTAGCAGGCTCCTTACCCTTTCCCTTGGTCTTGCTAGGCCCACCAATCAGAAGAGATTGTGTCTTATCCTTCTTGATAGACACTTCAGCAGTTGTTAACATACTTAACAACTCAAGAAAGCTCACTTGCATTCCATGCATGTGATAATTCATGATGAATTGACTAAAAGAAGGTTGAAGTGAGGTGAGGATTAAGTCATTACTTAGTTCGGCATCCATGACGAAGCCTAGATTTCCTAGCTTCTCAATCAGACCGATCATCTTAAGAACATGACTGCCAACAAACATGCTCTCTGACATCCTGCAAGAGAACAATTCTCTTGAGGCCTCATACCTCTCATGCTTGCCTTTAATGTCATACAACTCTTTTAGATGTAAGACAATAGAGGGAGCATCCATATGCTCATGCTGCTTTTGCAGTTCAGGCGACATGGATGCCAACATGATGCAGACAGCCAACACATTGTCATCCATGTGCTGTTTGTGGGCCTCGAAATCATATTCCGTGAACCCATCTTCCCCTTCCTTAGGAGCTACGGGTAATGCAGCATGTAGGACGTAAGCAATCTTTTCAGCCCTTAGAACAATTCTTAGCTTCCGATACCAGTTTATAAAATTTGGACCGGTCAGTTTGTTCGTATCAAGTATGGAGCGCAGTGACAGTGTATTAGTCATACTAATTAACTGAAAATGTAAAGATAAAAATTAATTAATATTTGGACATGTAGTAAAAACAAATTATTAAAGACTTTTATTAATTTGCCCCTCCCACTATTTTATCTAAGTCAATGACTTTCCTTTTGACTTAGGGTTATTCTACTTTTACACTTCTAATACTACTTACCTTCCCAACTGGGTTGTAGCATTTTATTAAGGGTTTATTAAGTCTCATCAAACGCATTAATATATTATCATGCTAGTCGTAACCTATGTCATACATCTAACGGTTTAAATTAGTCGCAATTGGACTTGCATAATAATCATACAAACGCGATTTAGTCCAACTCATGCATACTAGACGTCACAAGCCATAAAGCATACATATCGCGATACTCTATCTCATGCATACTAGTCGTATAATAACATACATGCAAATAAAACAGTTTTATTTTGAGATAGTCATGGTGCTCGCCCTTTTGTCCATCTTTCTTCTCAAGCCTCGGCTTCTTGTCGTCTATACGCCACTAGCCTAATTTCTCTAATTACAATTAAAGAAACTCCAAAACATCTTGGAGGGACAAAATTTAATATACAAAATTTGAGATTTAAATTACATCTCTTGTAAAAGTTCCCAAAATTACAAATTAATTTAAAATTTCAAATTTCAAATTTCGGGCACCATGACCATCCCATTCCTCTTTTGCACCTGAAATGTTAGATAACTCACAAGTACAAAAATATTATCATATAATATATTTTTCACGTATGTCTTGATATTTAACAATTAAATATTAAAACATAATTAAAATTCTAAATTTTCCTTAATTCTTCAATTGGCCGAATTAAACAACAATTTATTTAATTCAAATTTTATTGATTCTTTCTCAAAGAACATAAAATTAAACCATGCATGTAGCCATAAATCTCAAGATGGCCGAACCATATACAAGAGTATATGATTCAAATTTTCAAAAAAAATTCATGCCATGTTTCTGAAACAATTCATGAAGAAAAATAAGAAAACAATCAAGGTGTTCAAAACACCTTTTATGGTCGAACTACACCTTTCAAAAAGGTGTTTCCTTTTTAAAACTTTCACAAAGTAAAAACAACCATGTATACATATGGATTCATGAACATAGCATTCGAAATAACATGTTCATAAAAACGAAAACTTTAACCGTTTAAAGTATTGTGAATTAAAATCCATACGTAAAAATCAAATCTTTAACTCTTTAAAGAAATTTCAACCGTGAAAAATATGATCACAAACAAGGTACCATCACCCGTCTATGGTAAAGTAACCGGGCTCTGATACCACTTGAAAGTTAAAAGAGGGCCTTGAAGGCCGTAGCATGTGAGAGGGGAAAAACAAAATTTTCCGCAAGCGGAATACACATGCATATCAAGATACATACTTTAAGACGTATGTCATACCTTGTTCGTGAAAAGCTCAAGACGATCAAAGGTAGGTCTGAAGGGTTCAGACCCTCTAACGTTGATTCACACCACCTGCGTCTAGATACAGGAACTCCTTCCAGTAAAGCCGCCAATTGATCACCACAAAGAGGCTTGCTATTCGCTCAATGTGTGATGAGAGGAGGCTATGTAAAAGTGTTTGGAAGAGTGAAATTTTCTGAGAGAAAACCTCACAAAAGTGGCGCAGGAAATTAGGAGAGAATGGCTTGGTTGGTTTTCTAAAAACCCTAGAAGGAACATATATCAAGAGGCGCACAAGATGAGCCTATTTGTTAAAAACAAATTAGATTTTTAATCAATAAAAATCCCTTCCAAAAGGGCGCTCCATCAAAGAGAGAGAGAATAGGATTTGTTGCAAATCAAATCTCATAAATCTTGCCAACAACATCCTATCATATCTTTATGATATATTAGGTTCAAAACCTAATCAAATATCTGATCATAAATCATCATATAATCAGTTATATGGTGCGCCCCATATAGCCTAAATAATGACCAGATACATTTGAGTCATCAAATCACTCAAATATTCTCTCAACAGATTGTATCTTCTGGAGCTGATACTGATGACTAATCATCAGCCATATTAGCGCCCCATATTAGGTGTTTGTGTGTGACCCATTAGGTCCAACATAGCCACTGACATAAATGGGTTTGGGCCCAATAAGCCCACAACCCATCTAATGACAACACAGAGCACTAGCAATGCTTTGTTGCCCCATAACTAGTTAGATTAATGATTTGATCATCCTATTAAACATATTTGGTTGCCGTATGTTTGTCCCTTCGTCTCGGTTACCTTCTCATAAAACCTAGGGTAAAGAAACGTATCATCCCTTGCGATTTAGGGTTAGCTTTTTATGAAATAGGGAGTCTTCAATTTACTGACTCTAAAGGCAGATCATCTTATGATCTCTTTTACTATGCATAGATTCCCGAGTCACTGTAAATGTCATCCCGATTTCTCCGGTTTAAGGATAACCTAATCTCTCACAGAGATTTGACGAATTCCTTCAACTTATCACCCTAGTCCTGTGCCCTATCAGGACAAGCCCAAGAGCATACCTATGAATCTCCATGTTTCACGCAGACGAGATATACAGTCAAAGCATGCCTTCTAGAACACAGTCTAAGTGATAACTTCTGGTCTAAGGAAAGACATACCCAAATATAAAGAGACTACTCTAATGATACTATCTGTGAGATTTCCTCATAGAGTCTCTTTGTGGGTCCATTCAGTGCGAGCTATACTCTTATAGGTCCACCCACGACTTTAGCTAAGACATCTCCATATATGTAGCACATGAGGTATATACCTTGTATCCATATACAAGTAGATAAGTCATGCTAGTCTTACCCGAGATTACTGACCCCATTCTCAGTATCTCTAGACTAGGAACATAATATTAGGAATAAGCATCTGGTATTCTTGAATCCTCATGATCGTGATCTCATCACAGATATTCAAGAGATACCTATTTTATTCCACGGGGTTTATCAAGTTATTCATAATATATTAACATTAATATCGAGACAGAATTATGAAACAAGATAAAGAGTGCTTTTTTTTATTTGCGACAATATTAAAAAGGTCTACATAATCATAAGATTGTCTCTAGGACACCCAAATACTACAACTACATCTTGTCTAGTGAAGCTCATTCTCTATTTTGAGCTTCTTTGCTGGGATCCACAACAATGCCTTATGCTGTAATTACGTGGCCCAGAAACTGGACTTCCCTTAGCCAAAACTCACACTTCGACCACTTGGCATACAATTGTTTCTCCTTAACTATTTGCAAAACTATCCTCAAATGTTCCGCATGCAGTTCTCCACTGGTAGAGTAAATCAAGATGTCATCAATAAACACAATAACAAACTGATCCAGGAACGGGCGAAAGATACGGTTCATATAGTCCATGAATACCGCCGGAGCATTAGTAAGTCCGAACGGAATCACTTGATATTCATAGTGCCCATATCGAGTCCTAAAAGCTGTTTTTGGAATGTCTTCTGGTCTGACCCGAATTTGATGGTATCCCGATCGTAAATCTATCTTAGAAAATACTCTGGCACCTCTCAACTGATCCATCAGATCATCGATCCTAGGAAGCGGATACTTATTCTTCACTGTTACCTTGTTCAGTTGACGGTAGTCCACACACAAATGCAGACTACCATCCTTCATCTTAATAAGAATGGCTGGAGCACCCCATGGAGAAGTGTTGGGTATGATGAATTCTTTTGACAGTAGCTCTTCTATTTGCTTCTTCAGTTCCTGAAGTTCTAACGGTGCCATACGATAAGGAGCAATGGAAATAGTCCAACTCCAGGAAGAAGTTCAATGGGAAATTCTATCTCCCGATGAGGAGGTAATCGAGGAATTTCATCAGGGAACACCTCCTTGAATTCATTAACAACAGGAACATTCTGAATTTTATTGTCAACCGAAGTCTCAGCCTCAATCGATAATAGATACCCTACAGCTCCCCGAAGGAGTTCTTTTCTAACTTGTAATAAAGAAATAGTAGCAAAAGGCTGAAAATTACCATCTTTCGAAGGAACAATGACCTTCCCTACTTGACAGTCCAAAGTTATTCCGTTCTCCGCCAACCAGTCCATACCGATAATCACCTTAAGACTGAATACCGGTAGAACCACTAAATTCACTGTATAAGTGTTCCCTTCAAATTGAAGAATACAACCCCTGCAGATTTCTGATGCAGTACAAGATCCTCCAGTAGGAGTACTGATTTGTAACTCACAAGGTAACGGAGCCGGGGTGATACCTATTCTCATAGCAGTGTGCCCCACAATAAAAGAACCTGATGCTCCAGAATCAAAGATAACAGAAAGGGGATAACCATTCAGAATTACATTACCTCGAATCAGATTCAGATACTTTTGAGCTTCATTTGCATCAAGGGTGAACACCCAAGCTTGAGTAGGAGGTCGATTAGGATTCTGTGGACAATCAGAAATAAAGTGTCCTGACTGTCCACACCCGTAGCATAAATTGTTTCTACGTCGGCAGATTCCAGCATGATTCTTTCCACAAGTAGCACAAGCATTGGGACCCTGTCGTCCGACTGAAGATTGTCCAGGAGCATTATTCCTCTTAAAGTTACTAGTCCGAGCTTGCAACTGCGGACCCTTGCCTCTATTCATTCCGGTAATCTTTCTGAAGAACCGGCCAACTCTACTTCTTCCCTGTGATTGCACTGGCTGTTTAGACAGATTCCTTGCTTCATTGATAATTTCTTTCGCTTGCCGACTCTGATTAATTAATTCAGGCAGAGTACGATTTTCCGTAGTCAACATGAGTTTGTGGATCTTCGGGTGCAGTCCACTTTCATATTTTTCCACCTGCCACTCCTCGTCATAGATGTTCCGATCAAAATTGGCATATTCCATTAACTGCCCAAACTTAGCAATATACTCGTTGACAGTCATATTATCCTGTCGGAGTGACAGCAACTCAGTGTGTTTCATTCTTCTCATGGCCTTAGGAAAATACTTGTCGAGAAAAACCCGTCTGAACACTGCCCAAGTCAGATCAACATTTTGAGCTCGAAGCAAAGCCCTCGCACTGGTGCACCAAGTCAAAGCTTCACCAATCAGCTGGTACGAGGCATAGTCAGTCTTCTGAGCTTCCAGACATCCCATACGTTCAAATATGTGCTTGATCATCTGCAGCCATCTTGCTTGTAACACCCTCTCTTGTATGCATCCAAGAGAGTCGTTTGCTAATCGTTATTCGAGTTGTGGAAACGGATGAAAACTTTTTCTAAAAAAGATCTTTGAGAAATTTTTGTGGAAAGCTGAATCTAAGAAAATTTTTGATTGAAAGAACTTAAAATGTGTTGCTGATAAAAATAGTGAAAATTTTAGAAAACCGTATCCCTTTAAATATTAATATAAAATCGATTTTTCAAAATATTTTTGTACAGTTAACGAAATCTGAATGTAGACGCTTGGGGCTTCGCGTGCATATAAAATAATAGTAAATCGGAGGTCATTTGCCCCTTCAAACGTAACTCATAAGTTGACCGTAAACTGTTAAAAATTCAGCATTTAGAAAAAAATAATTCCTTTTCGCAAAACATTTTCAGATTTTCTTAAAATAGCCGCTGTTCGTAGAAGACTTAAAGCAGAAATGAATCATAGTTTTACAGTCATCCAAAAATCATCAAGTACCACATAATACAGTCATCCTAAGCTTAAAACAGTCAACAGTGAATAAATCCAGACAGCAACAAAAATATAACAGAGTTCAACATCCAAGTCCTCAAATGCTTTTACGTCCTCCTGCAATTTAAAAATTGCAGCCCCAAAGGGGTGAGAATAAACCCAGTAGTGTGGCAACAAAACCAAATGCAACAGTATTAACTAGGCACAAAATCATAAATAGTCACTTCAAACATTTAATCCTTTTCATCATATATCATAACGCGTATATAACGCCCTTTTTCCTTTACGCTCATAGCACCGTCGTGCGCGTAGCATCACAGTGGGTATTCCTAATGGCTCCCATGAAGGTGAATCCCACTGTGGAACCTATGCGGACTGAAGCCAAGTGTCCCCTCTCCTGGTACCAGACATGCCTATATGATGCATGCTCAGTCACATGTCCTCAATACAAATATATATATTCAATATGTCATGAATCAAGTATACATGCCATGTTATGCAATCACACCCAACAGAAAAATGTATTATGATGTAAAATGCATGCATATATCATATCATTCTTTCATATTCTTACCATTGGCTCATCATCATCATAACATACATAGAACAAATGTGAGCAACACATCACAATTCCATACACTAGCTAATAGTCACATTAGGTAATACCGCCTACACATACCTTGATGCTTTTAAGTACTAACCAAACAGCAGTGTATAGGCCCAACGTTTCAAGAATATTGCGCACCTAAACATAAGTATACAAGTCAGAATCCTATTCTAAGTGAATTTCCAAACACTTCACACCTTTATGTTTCTTTTATGATTAATTTCCCAAACTGTTTTACCTTATTTCTTTCCCTACCACATTCTAACTTCCTAATATATATATTTTCCAACGTAATACATCCCAAAACAGAATCGGTTTTGAACTTTTCTTAAGAAAAACGTTTTCTGCCTTCATATAAATTTGTCATTAAATTTGTACAGCACTATATTCCATAATTTTCCTAAGTTCCGCATGCATACTATACGGTTTTCTCCATGCTTTAATTCCTACAACATTCTGATTTCTCCTAATACCATTCCCATTATGGTGCGCTAAAACTAGGCATGCTGTCCATAATTTTTACAGCAAAACAGTGGACAGTGGGTCATCAAACAGCAGCGTCATCTCAGAAAAAAAACATGTTGTCTAGTAAGTTGTTCAGCGAAACAAAGAGCATTTTTCTATTTATCTAAATGTAACTTAGTTCATATTAGGCTTTAACAACTAATTCTAGCTAAGGCTACATGCATTTAGTGATTAAAACCTCCATAAAACTAATAAGATGATGATTAACATTTTATTTGTCTTCTCGTACTAAACTATAGAACCAAAAATGGTAAAAACTACACCCCAATACATTCAACATTTCGGTATAGAGCAGTGGAGATTTTTAACCTACCTCTTGACAGAAATACAAGAGAAAATCGAGTTACAAAGAGTAATAATTCAGCTCCTCTAACGAAAACTGTGCGCACAAGACTGGGAAGAGCTTCCTAGCTTTAAAAGCCTTCCTGCAAAGGTCAGCTCCATTAACCCCTACGCCAAAAGAAGAATCAAGGAAGAAGGACATTTATTTTACCCCCTTAAAGGATGAGCTTAGGCCGATAGATATGCAAGAAACGGTGCTTGATGGAAACTGCTTCCTAAGTTCACGATGGAAGGTAAGAATGATAGAGAGATGAATTTGTTTCTATAGAGTTTTTCCTCTACTAGTGTCACGGTTCAAGGAACAATATGAGTTATAATGACTGGGTTCTCTGGTGAGGGTCTTGGATTCTCTTGGCAAGACAAGAGGATGATTTGAAATCCTTTACTTGGTGTTCACAAGTTCACGGTTTTAGTATGGGAAAAGAATAAAATAGCTTGGCTTGGCTTCTAACATCAACAACGCTTGAGTGAGAGGAAATGAGGTTGGGAAATGCTGATTTAAACTTGTAAAGAAACCATCTAGAAGTGCTTGGCTTTTTCCTCCTATGTAGCGTAACAAGTGAGGGCTGGATGACATTGTTTATCCAATAAGGTTACATGCAATGCTGGCTACTTGTTATCTATTGGTTGCATTGCCTTAAGGCTGACTGCCTTTGGAGAATTCAACAAGCAACTTCAGCCTTTTCCTTGGTGCAGTCCATGCGCGTAGAAGGGAGGGATTTTAGTGGCTAATCTGTCCACTTTTAGATGATATAAATCAGAATTTCTGCTCACACTACCTATACCTACGCGCACACGTGGAGGGAAGATAAGGATAACTTGCCATGTGTGATCACCTACCAATCAAAGACTAACTTATGGGGTTTATTTGGATATTATTAAGATAATACACAATGAGATTTTGGGCTGCACTAAGACCCTCTTTGCAGCCCTTATGCTTCGGCCCACAAGCATAAAAGAAGGAAACAATAACACCAAAATGACAAGCCCAATGGATTACCATTCCAAGATTATTCTAAGACATCCTAAAGTTCCACGTCTCCTAAGTACCTTTAATTTTTTTATAGATCGATTTTCTATCATGCTCATATACTTTACTAGTATTTCACATGCCTAAGGTACATTCGCATATATTCTAATAATTCAAGTAATTTCTCTACTTCTAACCATAGGAGTCAAAATTAAACACACATTCCATGTGATTCTAATTTTCAATCATGCATGCTTATGCCTTATAATAATGTATATATATATATCTCTTAATTACGTGGGATGTTACACTCTCCCCACCAAATACGAATTTTGTCCACAAAATTAGATTTACTTACTAATTAAGCAATTCGGGATAACGTTCCCGAATGTCGTCTTCACGCTCCCATGTAGCTTCAGCTGTCGATTTGTTGTTCCACAGCACTTTCACCAACGGAATATCTTTTGAACGAAATTGCTTAACAGATCTCTCCAGGATCTGGAACGGCTGGACCTGGTACGTCAGATTTTCCCTTAACTCTATTTCTTCTGGCTGTAACACATGAGATGGATCGGAGTGATATCTCCTCAGTTGCAACACATGGAATACATCATGGATCCCTGACAAATTAGGCGGTAGCGCCAAACGATACGCTGATTCACCAATCCGATCCAAAATGAGATACGGTCCCAGATACCGCGGACTTAATTTCTTGACTCCCATTCTCCTGCCGAGCCCCGAGGTGGGTGTGATTCTCAAAAATACATGGTCTCCCACTTCAAAAGATAGAGGCTTATGACGCTTGTCGTAATAATTTTTCTGCCTGGCCTGCGCTCGCTGCATATTTTCTTTTATCTTCTTCACCTGTTCAGAGGTCTCTTGAATCACATCGGGCCCCAAAATACTTCGCTCTCCAACTTCAGTCCAACACAGAGGGGATCTACACTTTCTTCCGTACAGGGCTTCATATGGAGCCATTTGAATGCTGGAATGATAACTGTTGTTGTAAGCAAATTCAATCAAGGACAGATATTGGTCCCAACTACCTCCTTGCTCCAAAATACATGCCCGCAACATGTCCTCTAAAACCTGAATAGTGCGTTCTGATTGACCGTCGGTCTGCGGGTGATAGGCAGTGCTCAACCTCAAGTGGGTCCCGAGAGCTCGTTGGAAGGACTCCCAGAATCTTGAGGTGAACTTGGGATCACGATCACTTACAATGCTGGTAGGAACTCCGTGCAGTCTCACAATTTCACGAAGATAAATTCTGGCAAGCTTCTCCGTAGTATACGTTGTTCGAACACATAGGAAATGAGCTGACTTCGTTAATCGATCTATAATCACCCAAATAGCATCATACCCTTCTCGCGTACGAGGAAGTCCTACCACAAAATCCATGGCGATACTGTCCCACTTCCATTCGGGAATCTCCAAAGGTTGAAGAAGTCCCGATGGTCTTTGATGTTCGTACTTCACCTTTTGACAAGTCAGACACCGAGATACATACTCAGCAATGTCACGCTTCATTCCCGGCCACCAAAACGACGTCTTCAAATCGTGGTACATCTTCGTGGATCCTGGATGAACAGCATAATTTCCTTTATGAGCCTCCTGTAAAACCTCTTGCTTTAATTCTTCATTCGGCACCACTAACCGACCTTGGTACCTCAACATTTCCTTGTCATCCCAGACTACATCTTGATTATTAACCAAACTTCGGACTAACTCCTCATCTCTCTGAGCTTCCTTAATTCTCTGAAATAATTCATTCTCTACTCTTACTCGGCCCAACCTTATGCTATGCTTTCTCTTCACCACCGACAGATTCATATCCCTGAAAGCCTCAAATAATTTCAATTCTTCCATCATCAAAGTTGCAGTGTGCAGAGTCTTTCGACTCAAGGCGTCGGCTACCACATTTGCTTTACCTGGATGGTATTTCAGTTCAAACTCGTAGTCCTTTAAGAATTCCATCCATCGTCGTTGCCGCATATTTAGTTCTTTCTGGTCGAATAAGTACTTCAAACTCTT